AGGTGACAAAACAAAGCAAGCATGCAAGATCAGGTCTCACTTCCTCTTCTCAGAAAGCAACTAGTCATATCCTGGGGAACTTACTGTCATGACCTCCTCCAACACTACCTTCAAAGGTCCTACCTCCATATACCATTAACGTGAATTTGGGGACTAAGTTTCCAACACAAGAACTGTGGGGAAGGGGAGGATACATTTAAAATACAGCATACACCAAAGAATTATCTGTCAAGATATCAATCCCACCAGTATTTGTGCAATCCTGTTTCAGAGCGAGAAGCAGAGGCAGTAATGACTGACATTGACTCCAGGAAAAACAGGGAAAGGTTTTGCAGAGGAGGCGGTAGCTGAGGTAAGCTTTAAAGGAAATACACAAGTTCCTTGGTAAGAAATGTTTCATTTATTATGGAGAGACATTTCTGAAATAATGATAGTTGGAATGAATTATATCATTATAGTCTGAAATTTGCTGAAATATAATCCAGTAGGGGGAGTGGTGTGTAGAAGTTTTACCAGGAGTTGATAATTGTTGAAATTGGTGAAGGATACAAGGAGATTCATTGTACTTCTTTTGTTGTTGTTTTGTTTTTCTTGACACAGGGTCTTGCTACAGGCTGGCTTTGAACTCATTATCTTCCTAACTCAGCCTCCTGAGTGATGGGATTACAGATGTGCACATATATGCTCAGCTGGTTAATTGTAGTTTTGACTTTATATATTCTTGAAATTTACCATTTCATCAATTTTTAAATGTACAACTGAGTGGCAGGAAATACATTCACAATGTTGTATAATCACCACCTCTATTTCCAGAACTTTTTCATTATCCAAAACAGGAACTCTATACCCATAAAATAATAACCCCCTCTTCCACCTCTAACCTTTGGTAACCTCCATTCAACTTTTGATCATATTGAATTTCCCTATTCTAGGTACCTTTTGTAAGTGGAATCATATGATATTTGTCTTTTGAGTCTGGCTTACTTCACTTAGCATAGTGCTTTCAAGGTTCACCCATGTTGTAATATCAACTGAATATTTTTCTAGTGTGTGTGTGTGTGTGTGTGTGTGTGTGTGTGTATAAAACCTCTCTCTCTCTCTCTCTCTCTCTCTCTCTGTATATATATATATATATATATATATATATATATACTTCATTTTGTTTATCCCCTCATATGTTAGTTCAAATCAAATTAAAAAGGAAATTCTTTGTTTTGGTCAGAAAGAGTAGAGGGTTGCAGAAATGCTGTTGTTTGCATGTTTAACAGATAAAAGGCAGTGGAAATGGAATAGTATAAGATTTGGGTAAACAGAGAAATTTAGCACTTCTGGAGGCTCAAGAACATAGTGAAGGAAGCTGTGGCAACAGGGCTGCAGAAAAAGGTAGAATGATAGAATGGTAGATGGATGCATCAGAATTTGGCCATTTATCTCCTGTGAATTTTCTTTTTTTTAATTTTATTTTATTCATATGTGCATATATTGTTTAGGTCATTTCTCCCCCCTTCCCCCCACCACCTCCCTTCCCCCATCCCCCTGCTCCCTCCCTTACCCCTCCTTACACCTCGATACCAGGCAGAAACTATTCTGCCTTTATCTCTAATTTTGTTGAAGAGAGAGTATAAGCAATAATAGGAAGGAACAAGGGTTTTTGCTAGTTGAGATAAGGATAGCTATACAGGGCATTGACTCACATTGATTTCCTCTGCGTGGGTGTTACCTTCTAGGTTAATTCTTTTTGATCTAACCTTTTCTCTAGTTCCTGGTCCCCTTATCCTATTGGCCTCAGTTGCTTTTAAGGTATCTGCTTTAGTTTCTCTGCGTTGAGGGCAACAAATGCTATCTAGTTTTTTAGGTGTCTTACCTATCCTCACCCCTCCCTTGTGTGCTCTCGCTTTTATCATGTGCTCAAAGTCCAATCCCCTTGTTGTGTTTGCCCTTGATCTAATGTCCACATATGAGGGAGAACATACAATGGAATTGTTTTCATACATTCTTTTTCAATTTGCTCATTGTTAGTGTATAGAAATGCTAATGATTTTTCTATGTTGATTTTATATCCTGCTACCTTGCTGTAGCTATTGATGATGTCTAGAAGCTTCTGGGTAGAGTTTTTTGGGTCTTTAAGGTATAGGATCATGTTGTCTGCAAATAGGGATATTTTGACAGTTTCTTTACCTATTTGTATTCCTTTTATTCCTTCTTCTTGCCTAATTGCTCTGGCTAGGAATTCCAGTACTATGTTGAATAGGAGTGGAGATAGTGGACATCCTTGTCTGGTTCCTGATTTTAGAGGGAATGGGAATTGGACTTTGATCACAAGATAAAAATGAGAGCACACAAGGGAGGGGTGAGGATAGGTAAGACACCTAAAAAACTAGCTAGCATTTGTTGCCCTTAATGCAGAGAAACTAAAGCAGATACCTTAAAGCAACTGAGGCCAATAGGAAAAGGGGAACAGGTACTAGAGAAAAGGTTAGAGCAAAAAGAATTAACCAAGAAGGTAACACCCACGCACAGGAAATCAATGTGAGTCAATGCCCTGTATAGCTATCCTTATCTCAACCAGCAAAAACCCTTGTCCCTTCCTATTATTGCTTATACTCTCTCTACAACAAAATTAGAAATAAGGGCAAAATAGTTTCTGCTGGGTATTGGGGGGGAGGTGGTGGTAAGGGAGGGGGTGGGGGCAGGGGGGAGAAATGAACCAAGCCTTGTATGCACATATGAATAAAGAAAAATGAAAAAAAAAAAGAAAACAATTCCATTTACAATAGCCTCAAAAAAAAATCAAATACCTAGGTGTAAACCTAACAAAAGATATGAATGACCTCTACAAGGAAAACTATAAACTTCTGAAGAAAGAGATTGAGGAAGACTATAGAAAGTGGAGAGATCTCCCATGCTCATGGATTGGTAGAATCAACATAGTAAAATAGTAAAAATGTCTATTCTTCCAAAAGTAATCTACATGTTTAATGCAATTCCCATCAAAATTCCAATGACATTCATTAAAGAGATCGAAAAATCTACTGTTAAATTTATATGGAAACACAAGAGGCCACGAATAGCCAAGGCAATACTCAGTCAAAAGAACAATGCAGGAGGTATCACAATACCTGACTTCAAACTATATTACAAAGCAGTAGCAATAAAAACAGCATGGTCCTGGCACAAAAACAGACATGAAGACCAGTGGAACAGAATAGAGGATCCAGATATGAAGCCACACAACTATAACCAACTTGTCTTTGACAAAGGAGCTAAAGTATACGATGGAGAAATAGCAGCCTCTTCAACAAAAACTGCTGGGAAAACTGGTTTGCAGTCTGCAAAAAACTGAAACTAGATCCATGTATATCACCCTATACCAATATTAACTCAAAATGGATCAAGGATCTTAATATCACACCACAAACTCTAAAGTTGATACAGGAAAGAGTAGGAAATACTCTGGAGTTAGTAGGTATAGGTAAGAACTTTCTCAATGAAACCCCAGCAGCACAGCAACTAAGAGCATAGATAAATGGGACCTCATAAAGCTAAAAAGCTTCTGTTTATCAAAAGAAATGGTCTCTAAACTGAAGTGAACACCCACAGAGTGGGAGAAAATATTTGCCAGCTACACATCAGACAAAGGACTGATAACCAGAACATATAAGGAACTTAAAAAACTAAATTCTCCCAAAACTAATGAACCATTAAAGAAATGGGCAAGTGAACTAAACAGAACTTTCTCAAATTTGAAATTCAAATGGCCAAAAAACACATGAAAAAATGCTCACCATCTCTAGCAATAAAGGAAATGCAAATTAAAACCACACTAAGATTCCACCTCACCCTTGTTAGAATAGCCATCATTAGCAACACCACAAACAACAGGTGTTGGCGAGGATGTGGGGAAAAAAGGAACCCTCTTACACTGCTGGTGGGAATGTAAACTGGTACAACCACTCTGGAAAAAAATTTGGAGGCTACTTAAAAAGCGAGACATTGATCTACCATTTGATCCAGTAATACCACTCTTGGGGATATACCCAAAAGACTGTGACACAGGTTACTCCAGAGACACCTGCACACCCATGTGTGCATAGCCCATGGGTGGATAGCCCCAGTTTGATAAGCAGAATTGAGAACAAGAAGCACCTTACACTGCCCGGCTTCTAGATTTCAAGAAACCTGGAGTAGCAGGAGAGGCAGGTGCTGACGATAGTGTGCGGCATAGCCAGGCCGCAAAGTATTCATGGAAAGTGGGGCACACAGGTGTGACAGGGAACACTGATGAAGAGTTAGGCATTGGCTGAACCTGGTAAGAAAAACCAGGCTAACCGGTGCCAAAACAAGTGGGCCCCTTGGGAAGATTGTTTCTAGAATCCGGCTTAGGCCTCATTATCCCTGCAGGCCCACTAGAATTTTGTTTTGTGCTGTGGGTTGAACCCAGGGCCTCTCATAGGCGAAGCTTGCTCTACCTCTGACTACACTTCCAGCATCTTACTGGTGTTTTCCCCATCCCCACGCCCAGGAGAGAAGGCTTGCTATGTTACCCAACCTGACTTCCAAATCCGGCTCAGGCCATCATCCTGTCCTTTTTATTTCAATTAATTAATTAATATTTATTTATTTATTTTTGCAGTACGGGAGTTTATAGTCAGGGCCTTGCGCTTGCCAGCAGGCACTCTTGCTAGCCCTAATGCAGTATTTTAGAATGTAACTAATCATGCGAATAGTCTTACAAAAGTGGCTACACCAATTTATATCAATCGCACAACTTATACGCTGCACAAATTTATGCAGAGATTTTAATTACTGTTTACTTGACGGAGACAACCTTCCCCCAGAAAGACACCAGCCCTCCCGCCGATTCTCACCCTCGCGGAGCACTCCCTCCCGCTTCCCCGGCACTATTTCGGTCCCGCCCCTTCCGCTCGGAGGTCCCGCCCCCCTCGCCCCACCTCCTTTCCCAGCGCTAGCTGCGGGAGGGGTGGGGCGTAGGTCGGCCATGACGTCACTGCCGGCCGGACGCCATCTTGCTGGTTTGCGGCCGGGGCTTGGATGTGGCCCCGGCCGTGGTGAGGGCGTTGGGGAAGGGTGGGGTGAGGGGGCGAGGCCGCGACGAGGGCGGCGAAACTCTCCTCCCCTTGGCCCCACCGCGTGGGACGGCGTGGACTCGGTTTCGGAGGGATGTCCGCCTTTTCTGAGGCGGCGCTGGAGAAAAAGCTGTCGGAGTTGAGCAACTCGCAGCAGAGCGTGCAGACCTTATCCCTGTGGCTCATCCACCACCGCAAGCACTCGCGGCCCATCGTCACCGTGTGGGAGCGGGAGCTGCGGAAAGGTATGTAGCCCGCGCCTCTCTGCTGGTCCTCGGAGTCCCGCTCCCCAGCGCCCCCTGCTCCCGGGCGTCGGGAGCGCTGTCTCGGCGCCCGCGCGCCGTGCTGCCGGCTGGGAGGAGCGGCTTGCATCTGCTTCCTGCAAAGTCCGCACTTCGTGTGCACTCACCAAATAAAGGAGCGAATAATAAAAAATTCTACTTACTTAACACAGGAACAGGAGCAAGGGCTTGACACTCTAGGAAGTTTTTTTTTTTTTTTTCATTCTGTAGGTTATAATGAAGGATGGGGACGGATAAGGAAAGGAAAAGATTGATGTGGTTTTGGGAGTTACTTCCATCATTTTTATAACCTAGTCTTGTAAAGTTAAAAAGAGAGATCTGTTTTAGAACTGGGAATGTAAAATAAGAAAAATGCATGATGTAGTGACAAGAACCCTGACTTTGTAGTTTTTAGACGATCTTGGGTTGGCAGATTTCTTGAGCTTGTGAATTGTAGATGCCTTACCTGAAAATGAAGTTAGATTAAGTGATCTAAAGGCCCTTCCTGGTCTGTGGTTCCATGCCTCTAGTGTAGCGTCTTTATTTTGCAAAATAGTTGATAGAGCTGTGAATGAAATAAACTTTTCTGAGTAGATAGATGATTGTCACTGAAATATCCAAAATCAGTTCACTTCTGCAGAGCAACCTGATCTGTAAAGGGCTGATTGGTGTTAGTGCGACTGAAAATTAAAAAAAAAAAAAAATTTGCTTAGTTTGAGTTTGTACTTTAAATTTTCTTTTTTTTTTTTTGGCGGTACTTAGATTTGAACTCAGGGCTTCACGGGTGCTAGGTAGTCGTTTGCATCCCGCCCTGTACCTTAATTCTTAATTTATTGGGTAGAGTGAGTGCTCTTTCTTATGTTTTGGACATCCTGACGGATTGGATGATTATTAAATTTTGTTAATGGTTTTAACAAACCGTTACTAATCAAATAGATGGTTGCTTACTAAATGAAAGCCAAAGTGTGATGATGGTCTTTTAGAAAAGAGACCAACTGCTTCCTAAGTGTTTGCTTATGGTTAAGAAAATGCCATCCCTTAGAAGAAACAGCCCTGTTTTTTCAGTTTATGTATATGAGTATGGACTCTCAATGAGAAATTCAATTGTGAGTAGACAAAAGAAGGAACCAAAAAAAAAAAAGTGGAGAAAACTGATACAAAGGTTTGGAAAATAGCTGTGAACTTTCTTGAGAAGTCAGGAATTGACTTTGTTTTTTTATTTTACTAGACTTAAAAGTTAGCAACAGGTTTATCCTTTTTTGGGGTGGGAACGAGCATTTAGAAACACATGTAACCATTAAAGAATTGATACTCAGGCTACCAAATCAATAGAAAAATAATATATTTATAGGCTTTTCCCATAAGGAAGCCTTAAAGGCCAATAAATGATACTTAATCAGGAAACAAATAAACCAGTAAGGTATCACTCTATGCTCATCAGTTTGGCAAAAATGAAAATTATGGCAGTATCAAGAATTATTGAAGATGAAGAGAAACAGTAACATAGCTTGCTGGAAATGTGAAAAGGTCTAACTATTTTGGCTATCCACTTAGCAACCTCTAATGAATTGGTAGATATATACTCATTGAGTTGACGGTTCTCTTTCTAGGAATAAAAACAAAACAAAACTGAGTACTGGGCACAAAATTGTTTATTGCAACCTTGAAACAAAAATGGAAACTTACTGCAATTCTGGGAATGGAATCTAGGGCCTTGTGCATGCTAGGCAAGCAGTGTGCTGTTGAGCTATATTATCAGCTCTTAAAATATGAAAACAGTTTAAACATTCCATTAAGTGAGAGAATGGTCAATAAATTGTGACATTCATACTGTATAATACTGACAGCTTTCATAAATGAACGAAAGCTACATTTTTATTCATGACTGAATTAAAAAACAAAAAAAAATCTTGAGCTAAAGAAGCAAGGTACAGACCAGTATGCCATTTGGTAAAAGTTTGAAAACATACAAAATAGAGAAGATTTTGTTTACACATACCTACAATAAAAACATGAATAGCACTGGTCCTTGTGGTGCATATCTTTAATTAATCCTGGCGCTCAGGAGGCTGAGGTAGAAGGAGTGCAAGTTCAAGGACAGCGTGATTTACATGGGTAAACCCTGCCTTACAAAACAAAGGAACAGCAACAAAAATTCATGCATAACAGATTAACACTGTGTGCCCGGATAGTGGCTACCGGAGGAATAGAAGAAATGGAACAAGATATGTGCTATCTAGTGTTTCGTATATTTTTTAAAAATATTGTTTCAAATGTGGAAAATGGTAAGATGTGCTGTTAGCTGGATTTGGGAATGTTTTCATATGTTTAAATATATGTTTCACATGTTTCATAATTAGAAAAAGTAAGGCATATAAATGTTTTAGGAGGAAAATGATGGTAATTTAGTAGTGATGGTGTGGTTAATATACTGCCGTAGCAATCTCATGTTGGTCTGAGTTAAGTCTGCCAAGGATTTCCTTTCCTTAGCACATGGACTGCCTTGACAGGGCATAGTCTTTGTGTCCTCCTGCCTGTGTGCAGTTTTTCCCATCAACTTCAGGATCCTTGTTTCCCGTTGCATAATGATAATGGTAATTGTCATTAGTTAATTATCAATGGTAGTGATAATGGTAATCAGTAGATGGTATAGCAGACAACTAACACTTTCTGTTTATTGTAGATTGGAGGGGCCATATGTTGGTTATGAAGAAGATAGTGGCCCCTTTTAGGTGGTTTTCCTATTTCAGTTTTAGCTCCCTTATAGCCCCCACTTTGATGAAGGTGCTTAAATATTTGTTGAATATTTGTATTCACTAATAAGGTGTTAGATTAAGGGATGCTAGAGAAAGTATTATGTATTCTTAGTTGCTCTGATTTATTTGGTTTTAGAAAAAATAGAACATTTTTCGTTTGCTTTGTAAGCATAAGCAATATAAATCATTAGAATGAAGAGGTTCTGTTTTGAATTGACAGTTGTTTCTGTATTTTCTGGTACTGTTGTTTCTTTTCTGGAGTTAGAATTGCACAAGTAAGGAGACAATGTTTCCACCATCTAAGTTTTTGTACTTAAAAGGATTTGATACTTTCAAACTGACTTTACAAACTTGAGCTTATGTTTACTGCATCTTTGAAGATAATTATTAAATTACATTCTAGCTACATAACTAATTTTCCCCTTTTAGCAGATTTTTTTTTTAACACCCCTTTCCAGAAACAGGATCTGTAATATAACGTGATCTTTGTAACATTTTTGGATGGCAAATGCAAATTGTCAGTCATAGGCTGATTAAAGGGGTGGGGGAAACCTCAAAATGAAAGATAATAAGTAAGTTTAAACTTTTGTTTCTCACCAAGCTTCAACAGTTGTAGTCTTTGTTCACACCTAAAAAAAAGTTAGTTTCTTGGCTTGGCACGGTGACTTGAGTCTGTAATCCCAGCCACTGAGGAGGCAGACATTGGGAGAATCTCTGGTCAAGGACAACTAGAGCAAAAAGTTACCAGGACCCCATCACAGCCAATAGCTGGGCATAGTACTGTGCCTGCCATTCTCTAGGCAGGCAGCATAAATAAAATCGCTTATCTGGGACATCCCAGGCAAAATGCAAGACTCCGTACCCAAAATAACCAAAGCAAACAGGGCTGGAAGCATGGCTTAAGTGGTAGAGTGCCTGCCTCAAAAACATAAGGCCCTGAGTTCAGCCTTCAGTACCAGCGTGTACACACACACACACACACACACACACAAAAGATGGGGGAAAATTAGTTTCTCTCTTTCTTTTGTGGTGCTGGGGATCAAACCCAGCACCCTATATATGCTAGGTAAGTGCTCTACAGCTGAGCTGTACCCAGCTTGCATTACTACATTAGAAATGAAAACATTTAATATATTTAATAATTATGTAACTAACTTAGAATACTAAATTGATGTTAACATAAAATAACATTTTAGTGGAAATATTTTTTCAAAGAATATTAGCAAAGGGAATGATTGTTCTAAATTTTTGTCAATTTTTTGTTTATTTATTTTTGTTTTTTAGTGCTGGGGATTGAACCCAGGGCCTCTGGCATGCTAAGCATGCACTTTACCACTGAGTTACACTCTCAGCCCCTGCACATTTTTATAATGTTTTAATGGAAGACAATTTGATTCCCATGTTTGTTTCTGTATTCAGTCTTGCTGTACCCCATATCATGACCTCTGGAAAACACTGTATGTGTGTGAAAGAACAAGAGTGATAGAAGACAAGTGGTGTCTTAGCATTATTGTAAAAGTAGTTCTGACTTCATGGACCCATGAAATGGTCTTGAAGACCCCCAGGGATCCACAGACTATTTGCTAAGAATTTGACCATTTTCTGTATGTTGGATCAAGAGAATAAGATGTATTATTTTGCCTTACACAAACATTTTCTCTTCAAAATACGAATTTCCCTGAAAACTTAAACTGAATTTATGAAATTTCCCTTTGAATGTATTATCAGGGAGGGGGATATGAAAGAGTAATAGAAAAGGTGAATTTGCTCAAAGTACATTATGTGCATGTAAGGAAATATCACAATGAAACCCCTTTGTATAATTAATCTATGCTAATAGAATCTTCAAAGAGTAAATTAAATATATAAAATGTATATTATAATGCAATTTTCTTTAGGTTCTCTTTCCTATGGTGTGCTTTTTTTTTCCCTCCCAATGGCAACAAACTGCCCTTAGAAACTTAATTTTTATTCTTGCTACTGTTTGAACTACCTTCACCTTTTTATGATTATGAAAACTTTCAAATATATATGGGCTAGGGATTCCATTCAGTACCAGAATGTTTACATAGCATATGCAAGGTCCTGGATTTCATCCCTAGCACTACAATAAATAATAAATGAAGACATAAAAAATAAGTATATGGTGGTATACACCTATTATCCTAGCTACTTGGGAGGCTGAGGTAGGAGGATAACTTGAGCCCA